ATAAGGAAATATTAATATTAAGTAATATATATTATATTATAATAACCAATATAAGTATACAATATTTTTCGCACTTGCAGTTCTATCCATTATATAAACATATGTGAACTAATAAATAAAAATATATAATAATATTAAAATATTTATTTAAAAAGTGCATCAATATAACTATTATAGTGAAAGGATATGAATTATTTTCAAAATTTACAAATATAAAAATATTCTTTTTAATTTGAATTAATTTATTTTATACATTATACAAAGATATTATGTTCAAATGGGCATAAACATTTTAGTAGATGAATCAATAGTAGAAAAATAGATACATAAGATTGAAATTTAATAATATTAAATAATGTAAAATATAATTATAATTTCGTTATATATATAAGAAAAGGCCATGCATTAGTTACCATCTCCACAAAATAAAATGGAAAATATATTTATATAAGAAATAATTTTTTCATGCTATATTCATTTATATGCTTTTAAATTCCATTAAAAATTATGAAACATTAAAATTATATAACTTGGATGTTATAATTTATGGTTTATAATTAATTGATTATAGATCAGTATTTTTCTTACTTTATATTAATTATGATATATATATAATAATATGTTTTATCGTAGAAAATGATGATTATAGCTAAGTTGGATTCTATTAATAAATAATTTTGTATTGTAGATGATTTAGTACAACATATTTTTAAAATGTGGTTTAAAATTATAGAAGTGATAATGTACGATATACCTTCTTTATTTCGTAGCAATTGAATATTAAAGAAATTATAAATATATACTGTATAATATATTTATGTATCATAAATAATAAATTTATAATATTTTGTATTATTTTTATGTATATATTATAATTTAACTACATTTTCAATCATTGCATGAAATAATAAAGATGCTTAAATAAATAGTGGCATAAGTGTTATAAAATATTTAATTCAAGATATAAAGAATTTATTTTCATGTTTTCATTAACTGATTATTCCGCATAAGAATAAAATTTTACATTTTATTACTATAATTTTTTTTCATTATATAAATTTCAGAAATGCATGTTAATTATAAGAAAAAATACAACTCTTAATGTCATACATAATGTTTGCTGCAATGTATTTTTTAATATATAAGTAAAAATAATATAGGTATCATATATTTCATTTAACATTAAGCGAATAATAATAATTATGTTATTTTCAACATAATTATTTTCTATTTTATTTCATTCGTTATTAAAAATAAAAAAATCTACAAGTCATTTATATATGAACATTATAAAATATTGTTTGATAAGTCTTCAAAGTTTATTGTACCATTTGTTTATTTTTTTTTTAGTATAATTTTTTTATAGGATAAATTTATTTCCAATAAATTTTTTTTTAATTAAATACAATTATTAAAATGAGTCTAAAACATAAATAAAAAATATATTTTTTATGTTTTACTTGTTTTATATTTTTTTTTTTTTGCAAAATATACTATTGCATCATGTACAGGTATTCCATTTATTATATAGAGTATTTTGCATTTAATTTATAAATAATGAAACATATATAAATTACATTATATTTTATATTAATAAACAAAAGAAAATTAGATTTTCTAATGACTAATAAATATCCTGTTATATGTACATTAAATGATGAACTCGACAACTGAATATATTTACACACAGAATTAAAAGTAGTAGAGTGCAAAAAAAAGTAAATATGAGCTAATATAATTTTTATATCCTTATTATATATATTTTAAACTTTATATATATTACGTTTTATATGAGATAAGAATAATGATTTTTTTACAAAATATTATTCAAGCATAATACTGTAAAGAAAATCTACATATGGACCCTGCATGTAATGATAAAATATAGGTAAATGACACAACAAAAAATGATGGTACATTGAAATATTACATAATAGATATTTTTATTCCCTCATTTATAAATAATCCAATTGAATGATTTATTATATTGAGACATGTCTTATAAATTGGGAATATATGAAACATAAAATTATCAATATATGCGAAAAAGAAGTATAAATGATTCATAAATAGCACATGATATGTGAAATGTTAAATTAATTAATAAAAAAATCAAATGAAATAAATATATAATAATAATTGAAGAGATATGTGGAATATTTAAAAGGACCATTATATAGTGTTGTTATATTGTAATATATCATTGAATGAATTTTTGCAAAGAAAAAAAAAATTAATATAAAAATATGTATGCAGTTACGCAAATTTGAGAATAGATAAAATGTAATATATAATTAATCGTGTATCGTGAATTTATAAGAACAAATTTTATAGTTTTTTATCATTTATGTAAGTGCTGATCGTTATGTGCCAAACAGTTCTTATATATTGATATTAATTATATGCTTGAAGAGTAAAGATTCGCAAAAATTATAAGGTGTATATTCGTGCTAGTATATTACTTAATAATTATTATATGCCTGTTTAAGATTCTATCTAATTCTACCTACTCAATTATCCTGCAAATTTAATGGAAAAAAAGCAATATTGATTAATATGAAAAATACATATACTAAATGAAAATTTAAAAATGAGTTTATAAAGCATTCAGGAGGTTATAAAAAATATATAATTTTTTAACTATCAAATATAAAATATAAAACAGTGGGGAAATTTTATATTGTCCATAAAATTTTATATTTATGGATAATAGGTATATAATAGAAATACAACATATTTATATAGTTTTACGCGTGCTAAAAAATTTATATATACATGTACAATTGTAGAATCCAAGGAAAATATTTTATAAAAGCTTTTGTCGAAATTATGTATTATTTATTAAATATAGAATCCGATATTTAGATCAATACGCATACCTTTACTACATTTGACCATATATATCTCCACTTATATCAGATTCTTCTTATAGACATTCTTAGAAATTATTCATTATTTTGAACAAAAATTAATAAATGATTTTCATATATTAATGAGTGGTAAATATGTAACCTTATAAATATTTTTGAAATACATAAACAGCAAATAATTTAATATATAATGCTAATTTTTTTAAAAAACTTCTTGGTTAACTGAAGAATTTTAATTATAATTTATTAACATTTATGAAAATAAATTATGCATAAGCATTATATAATATTTATCCATCTGAACTGAATAACATGGAAAACTGTGTTTATAATGTTATGCTAAGAATAATAAGCAACATTGACATCAATCTTTTTCATTCATCAATAATAGAAAAATTATGCCTTAAGTTATATTATCATATAGCTCTATAGTTTAATTATCATTTCCCTTACTTACTATTACAATACATATATTCAATTTTATATATTATTTGCTACATTATAAGATATCATAAGGTAATGAAATAATAGAATATTTCTTATATATATATATTGATTTTAAAAAGATTTTTATATTCTCAATAACTAAAAATTATACTGTATATGGAATGATAATGGTTTAATATTAATAAAGAAAATAAGTACTAAAACAAAAATTACAATTATCTGCGTTTAGAATAATTTTCATAACTCCAAAAAAAATAAAAAAATAATCAATATAATATAGAATGTAACTTCTTATAATGTACAAAATAATGATGTAAATAGGAAATAACATCTATTTAAAATATGAAATGTGACAATGACATCAAGTGATACCATGTATGTTTAAAACATGTACACTAATAAGTATTATTTCTGAAATAACAATAAAAAATTTATAAATTCGTTATTAAATATTCTAATATATAAGAAAAAATGATATAAATAATGTTAATTTAATTAAGTTTTTTAAAAATACTACATTATGAGATATATTACATATATATTGTATAAATATATATTAACTTTATTAATAATATTTATCCAAAAAATAACACATAATGATGATTATCAAAATAAATATATATACATACTCCAATAGAATATAAAAATATCTTCAAATAATGAGAATTCATAAGGACAAAATATAGACAGAATATAATATATAATTAGCAGTGTGAATATGAGTAATTCACTTCTGTATATATATATTACATAATAATTTTTATGGAAATAAATATGTTTTAAGAGCATTTTTTTTTCATTAATATGTAAATAAAATATAATATTCCTAAATATGGTGTATATTTAAAAATTAAAATAATAAATGCTTATTTATAAATTAATATACATATATGATTCAGCTGTAACTATTTTTTTATGCATATAATTATGTCGATTAATAAGTATGACATTTCCTTATTATTAAATTACCATAGATATATTTTTCATTATATACAAACAATATATAGCGTTTAAAATCGTGTAAACTAATACAGTAAATGGATAACACTTATTTAATATTTATTTTTTATATATTTATTTTAGTAAAATATTACAGATTAATTATATTGTTCTATTATTCATTAAAACATTAAAATATTCTCTATATATAATAGGTATGTTTAATATAATTATTATATCTGAAATTGATTTGGGAATTATTTTTTTCAAGTACTTTATTAGTATGTATATTATTATATGAGCGTATGTTAACATATATATTGTATTTATTTGAACTTTTTATTAAATATTTAATTCACTTCTCTTTTCACTTAGATTAAATAAGCTTAAAATCACGAAAATAATTATTTATTAATCCTTCAAATTTATTTAAATTTTGATATGTCTATTATATGCTATTCTTATATGATATGTAATAACTATTATTACATGTTAATATGTTGTACTTTTCTTAAGCTCTTTTATAAGAATTATATTTATTTTCATTATGTTACACAGTTTTACATTTAACATTACACGCATTGTCTTAATTTACAGAAAAAATATAAATTAATTTATAATTTAATTATAATTTTATAGCATTTTCTGTTGCATAATTGTTTATTTTTTCATACAATACTCATATCCATTATTGTTTTACTTGGGTGAAATTATTCTTAATTCATTAATTTAAACATGTTTTTATTATGAATAGTGTACTGAACTATATTCTATTGTGTAATCCTTATCAATAGAAGGTTTATAGGGGCTTTCCAATGAATCCAAGAATATAAGATATTCTTCATCCTTTTTATTAATAAATCTCCTTATTTTCACTAACAATTTTTGTAGATATGATCTATAAGACGTATTCTAATAATAACGAAAGTATATCATAGTTATACGCATATTTCATTTATTTGGTACAAATTTTGTAATAATGGGAAACATAAATTTTAATACTTTATATATAATATAAGCTGAATTTATATTTAACCTTATGAAAAATGAATATAATTAATGATAATGCAAATATTGTGAATGTTATAGTTAAAAAAGCTGCACGTATATGTATAAGCGATGAGGACTCTGTGAATTCAGAAGCTTCTTTATGGATATGTTCATTTACAGTATCTTGAATATAGAGAAGTTTAAATGAATTTAGAACTTGACAATAACTGTTATTATTCAGATTTTCACAATTTTTTGAATAATTAGTATATTTTGTAAAACATGTACTATTCTTAGGGCACTTTTCACTCTGTAGTATAAAAGCATTGTATAGATCATTCAATTTTTCAAAATTTTGAAATATATCATCACTAATGTCTTTAATGTATAATTCACATATATTAGATATATTATAATAAATATTTTCATTTTCTTTAATTATCATTTTATTATAAGCTTTTACAGTGCTCTTTTCAGGACAATTATAAATATTTAATAAATATTTTAACCTATAATTGAAATATTTACAGCCTCGTGATATTTCAGTAGTGCTATTTTTATTTTTTATATAATTTAAGTAGAGAAGAAGCTGCTTACAATTTGATACAAAAAAATATCTGTAATACTCATCAAAATTTAAAGATTTTACATTTACTGAACATGTATTGCCAATTTTAGATTCAACATTAGTTGTGCTATTAGTGGTATGAGTATGAAAATCATTCACACATGTGGGGAATATATCCTTAAAATCGTACTAAAAATTAAAGTCACAATGAAAACAATATTTTAATATAATGTTTAAAAAAAATATTTCTTCTTATTCTTACACACATAAAAATATTTTCAGATTACGTAATATAAATTTTAATTAATTAAAAATGTGACGACGTACGTTTTCTGTTACTATTGGTTGCGTAGTCATTGTGTTAATTTATGTGAAATGAACATACAAAAGTTGATATTAATGTGATTAATGGTTTTGCGTGCAAGGGTATTATATTCTGGTTTAAATTAATATGTCGTTTTATACTTTTTGTTTTGAATATATTGATATTTATTATAATTCTATGTAAATAATATAGGAGAAAACAAATTATGTATTTTCATAGTTTAAGTATATGTATTAATAATACGATAATTATTATAATTTACTGTTGTCATATAATCTAATATAAGTAATTAGTAAATATCTTTATTCTTAATTATACATATATATTTTGCTGATATATGTAAATATTATGAATGAATGTATTATACAAAAAATAAATATAACTGATGGATTTCCACTAATAATTGTCCACATATTTATGATGATATTTTGTTTTACTTTTTATAATATCATTTATTATTGTTTTATTACTGTTATTTACCTGTTGTATAAAATAATATATACATTTAATCTAATTAGCATAGCTTGATCATTAAGTATTAAATTTAAACACTTATACTTATATTTTTATATACCCTTGAATAATCTGTATTATTTATATAGACTTCATTTTTTTAAGCCTTATTTTCTGTTTTGCTTCCGATTGATGTATTATTAAAGTAAAATCTGATAAATTAAGGTAACATCTAAAAAAATATTTCAATAAAAAATTGACAAAGTGCCAATATATCCATATTTATATTTCATAATACTCCTGCAATACAAAAAATATTACTGTCGCACATTTATCTTCATATTTTCCCTAAATTTTTCTTGTATCTTATACGAGGATAAGTTATCTATTAATACATTATAAATATATTGCCATTTTATAATTATAGCAATTTTCAATATAATATATTTAAGCGTATTAAAAAGTATTTATTTGGAAGAATAAATATTCACTTTAGAATTTAAAAATAATATATTATAAATGTTGCGAAATATATACATTTTATGCTGTAAAAATATCATATCAATTGAAATTAATTAATATTATTATAAACGAAAAATTCTCTCGTCCAAACGTTTAGAATATTTAATACAATTAAAATAAGGATTATAATTCTGTTATATTGATAAGATAATTCTAATAATTTTTTGTTGTTTATAATAATAAAAAGTTTAATATTCACTATATATATCGCATGCTGATTTCGTTACGAATAATAATTGAAACATCATTTATATAAAAGAATTATTTTAATGTATTACAGAATATAAACATATTAAGTAACATCATATAAATTTAATACTGCTCAAAATACAATATACATCTGAAAATTTATGTACAGAATTACAGTAATTACTGTAAAAATACATATAAAATTCTAGTGCAGAAAAATATGTATATAAATAGAAAATACAGAACAAAGGGGAAAAAATATATATATAAAATAAAACATTGTTATGTTAATTAATATATGTATAAATTTTATTATTATCTCATATTATAAATCTGAATATTCTACATATGTTGACATTATATATTACCTTAGAGGAATTATCTGTATAATACTTTAACTTTTGTACGAATCTTTATATATCCGGAATATAAATTTAGGACATAAATATATTATTCATATAATATATATAGTTTTATTCTTTTAAATAGCATTATATTTTTATTTTCTCTTCTATTGTTTAACAAGCATTAACTTAAGAATACAAATACATAATATATATAATTTTTTAAACAATTTGAAAAAAAAATTTAAATGCTATTAATTTACATAGAAGTTATTAATAACTAATATAAAATAACATAAATTTTAATAAAAAAATGTTACTGAATTATATTATATGAAAAATATGCTTCTATGAATTTTTCTCTTTAGATAAATTTATATTTAAAAAAAAAAAATATATATATTTTATTTTCAAATGACATGACTTTTGACTAACTATATACTGTACATTTTATTTAATGTAAAAGAAAAAATAAGAATATTTTAGTAAAATATAGTATAATATATGTTTATATAATCTTAATTCTATATCCATTTATGTATCACAAGCTCTACAAATAATGTTCAAGATATATAAATATATAATATATAAATTAATTTTTTTTAAATAGGATGTATGCCCTTAATATATGGTATAAAAAAAAAATTCTAAAACAAATATTACATAAAAAAAATAAATATGTCTATAAAAAATCGTAATTATTTTTCGTGTAATAAAAAACATGTAATTTTCTTTAGGAAGGAATTAATAGTAAAAAACATTTACGAAAGCATTACTATTAAGAAAACAAATATTTGCATTATATTTTTTACATATGTTGATACATATTTATACATACGAACATAAAAAAATTATTAATTCTCACACCTTAAAATTATTTCATTCTTCTTTTATTTTTATCGAGACACATATTTGTTTTAGTTATGTATGTTATAGTAATCATAAATATGAATACAGGGTATTATAACATATATGTTATAGATTTATTCAAATTTATATCATGTACATTTTGTTAAATATAAACTATAGATTACATTATTATTAGCTTATTTACCTCACACATTTTTCATCCAATAGATATATTAAAAAATCACAAAATATTTGTCTATAGTGATTTATAATATAAGTATAATTTTTTATAATATAAATTAGAGCAAACATTTATTTGAATACGCACAATCAATATACTAACATCATAAAATTTTTTAGTGATGTATCTCTTAATATTAAGAATGCTTAATCAGCGTACAAATCAATTCCATGTAATTATAGATATATGCTGTGCAATGTATATATACATATACATTTCTTTTAATTTATTATTACTTATTTATAGAATGTGAAAACCGTGCTTATTAGGAAATAAGTTCACACTAAATATATTATTTAAATATTATCCATTTAATTATTTACACACGAAAAAATATGATGTTGTTAAACAACATGATTTTTTGCATACTTTTGTGAAAATAATATTAGAATAGTACAAAAATACTCATATTAATTATATATATAATTTTATAATTTTACATATCCTATAAATTCATATTTATTACTATTTATTATGCACATATGCTTTGCTTTATTTTACAACTCTAGATATATATAAAAAATGAATATATTTTAGGGTAATGCTAAAATAAAATATTTAAATATCATTCTAGTAATTAGTATAAATTGTTCACATTGTATATAAATATAGTTATCTATAAAAAAAAAATTATAATAATTATTATTGTCTTCTTTATTAAAAGAAAAGAATATACGAAATATTATATACATACAATTTATTCAATTAATGGTAATTATAAAAATAAATTTACTAAAATAGAAATAATCTAAAATATTTTGAAGCAGAAAATACATGGTGCAAAGCATAAGAAAATATAGTGCTTTAATTAATATACGTTAAAAAATATTTTGTAATATTAAAACGTATATATATATTGCACAAAATAAATATACATATAAGTAAGATTATTACGCTATACTGTATTTTTAAAGATATATACATTAAACAAGTTGCATGAGATAGAATATTCTATAGAAGCAATTAAAAAATATGTTTAATTATTATATGCTATTTTTATTTATTTCGTTCAGTATATTTATTTTTACTCATTTGATATTTATATGCATAATTACTATTAAATATATTTATATCACATTTTATTGTAAAAAGTGATGAGATGTTTTTTGTATTACTATGATATATTTAATGTATAATAGAAGAATATTTTATTATATATGTTATACACTGTTATTCTATTCCGAAGTATATCATTTGCATGCTACATTGTTAATATTGTAATACAAAAAAATATATATATTAGCAATATTATTTATGTTTAAGACACTTTTTTCTCATAATTCAACTCTTATCTACTTTTGTACATATTGGTTATTTATGTTATCCACTTATATTAGTTAAACTATAATTATTATAATAACTCATATAGATATTTTTAGTTTTTCCAATAATATTGTTATATGTTCATAGATTAATAATAAATATCACTATAAAAATAAGTTAAACATTATTTCAATTTATAATAATAAAAATAATATATTAAAAAAAGTAATATGCAAACGTAAATTTATGAACACAATAACTTAAAGCTATTACAAATACTATTTAATGAATGCATGGTGTTATATGTCAAATATGATATAAATAGTTTTTTCTTGAGCATTCTATGTATTTTTTTAATTATTTTCTTTTAAAATATTTAAGATATAAATATATAAATTAATAGAATTTTATGGAAATATTTTAATAATAACTTAGATTATGTTATATAAATATACCAAAATTTATTTTTTTGTACATTAATTAGAAGCTTATATTTTTGATATAAACTTATTCCATTGATGATATAGATTGGTTATTTAAAATATAAATATAAAATTAAGGATCATTTTTATTTACATTTACCTTATTTTATGATAAACTAAGTTACAATTAAATTGTGTCAAATATGTATACATTTTATTTATTTTATTTCATGTATAATAATATTTCTTCTTTTAATTATGTGTAATTAAAAATTTTGCATTTTATGAATGAAATCATATGAATACAGTGCATGTTTCAAATTTTAATATTCTTATTTTTTATATGAGTAGTAATGATAATTGTTAATTATGTTTATATATTATTGTATGTTTGTACATCTTGATGATCACTGAAAAATTTTTTGTATTATAAGGAAATATTTAAAAATATATAATTCCTTTTTTTTTTTTATGTATTATCAAATAATTATTAATTTTTTATAACATTTTATTTCATTATTATTTTTATTTTTTTATTTTGTAAAAATAATTATTACTAAATTTTATTGTTTAAATGTAACTATATTATGTTCATTAATAGCATTTATACATTCTTCATGTTTAGATTATGGAGGTGTACCCTAATTGGTACTTAATATTAAAAAAATTATTTTGTGTGAATTCTGATGAATCCATTATCTTGAGATTATGTTTGTTTTTTTTAATCCATATTTTCCTTACTTTCCTTACTGTTGGCTGTAAAAATTAATCAGGCGGAGTATATTGGTCATGTAGGACAATTTTGTATATATAACTGTACTATTTATTTTATGTAAAAATGTCATAATTATGAGTAAAGTAAATTTTTAAAAAAATTATGAAAAGAATAAATTAATTTTATATTTAACCTTATATAAAAAAAATGTTATCATTAATAATGTAAATAATATAATAATTAAAGTTAAAATAACTGTAAGTTTATTTGTAAAATTTGCGTGTTGTGGGACTGCAGTTAATTGTTTTTGTTCTATTATTTGCTCTATATTTTTTACATTTTGCTCCATAAAATAATCTAACAATTCACGAAAACTGTCCTTTTTGGATCATGTATACATTTTTGATAATTCCTTGTACTTATTATAACAAGGAGTATTTGAAAGGCATATATTATCATTCAATACAAAGTGTCTATATAGTTCATTCAAATCCTTCATTACGGAATATATACTTTCATCCATATCTTCAAAATTTTCCCAATACATATTAGAAACCTTCTTAATATCACTTTGTTTGGTGTTATTAATAATTATTTTGTAAGCTTCGTCACTTTCTTCTTTAGGGAATCTATAGGTTTTTAGTATATCTTTTAGCAGATAGTTAAAATATTTACAACTTCGTTTTTTATCGTAGAATTTTTTATGTTCTATATAGTCTAAATAGAGTATAAGTCGTTTACAATCTTTTTTAAAGTCATTCACAAGAAACAATGGATTTAAAGATGTTTGAATCATAGTACATGCTTCTTCAAGTGTAGAATTTTAAAGATTTTCTTCATTCATAGCACGAGTATTATAATAAAGCATACTGTTGGAAAATGTATCCACGAAAAAGTATTAAAAATAAACTCATAATACATATAAAAGATTAAAATGATATTTATAAAAAGTGCTTTTTCCTATGTATATATATATATTCATAACTATCAAATTAGTTAATGTTAATTTTAGTTGACATTAATAATAGGAACTTACCTCAGTCCTTATATTACATTGGGAAATCATTGTGATTTTTTATACAAAATAAACAAAATTCAGTTTATATTAATGTAATTATAAATATTCATTGGTAAAAGTATTATTCTATATTTAAATAAAAGACTTTTTAATATATAATACATAAATTTTAAACGCTTTTTATAAAGTTATATTTTTATTTGATTCCTCTTGTATAAAAGAATATAATTAAATAATTCGTTCTAGATAAGGAAATCAATTATTTATATGATAAAAGAATATGAAAAAAACATATATAACTATGAAATTAAATAAAAATGTATAATGATAAAATGAAAATATTTTTAATTACTGTTATGTATATATTACTCATACAACAAATTAGTCTCTTAATATAATAAACTATGAATTATATATATTAATATAACCCATATTCATCTCATAATATTTATATATATTCATCTTTCATGAATGAAGATATTTGGAATAAATATACATAGATAATAAAATAATAATTTTATAAGTTAAATATATAAATTTTATTTTAAGTTTTATATTTATATTTTATTATTTATAATAAAATATATATAGTTTGTAATTTAATTTACATAATAAACAATCATAAAATATTTATAAATAAAAATATAAGTATATTATTTTCATAAATTGAATGTTAAATGAAGGACATAATATTGTTCAAAGATATAAATGTCATATTTACTTAGGCACAGAAAAAATATATATATTACCACTGATAGTCTATTAAATAATATAAGGATTAATGTTATAATTAAAAAAATATTATTTTTTATTCATAGATTATTCATATCAATAATCATATATATATAAGATACATCAGACTATTTAAATTTATCAGATATATATATTAATATATTATATATGAATACGGAATAGAACATGTATTCATGATTCAATATTATAAAACAATGAATTTAGATAAAGGATGCAATGCAAGATATCATTAAAGTGTATACATATCTATTTCTACAATTTTTACATGTATAAAGCATATATAGATATAATTATGAATATATTTTTTAGGAAAAATAAGGCAAAACATTTTCCATATATATACAATATAATCTAAATTACAAACTGTATGTGATATCTATAATTTTTTTTGTTTTTTTAACATTCTAACAGAAGTATTTTTGAACAATAAAACTTTTTATTAAATATACAACGATTTACATAATAAAATATAAATCATATAGTCGAATTAATTTATATGATATTTTTTTGCTGACAATTCAAAGATAAATTATATATAAGAACATATGGTATAAGCTTTTATACTGTTTTATTATGATATATAATAATTAAGAATTATATTTTCATAATATTATTAACTATGTATATAGAATTTTAAATAATAAAATAATTGAAATGCATAAACCATCCAAAAAATAAAAATGTTTAAGTATGAGAAAAAATTTCTTAATATTTGAAAACACATAATACAGAATAGCATTCCTGTAGTTAACATTAAATATATTGATGGAATTTCTTTTTTAAAATTATAAAGGTTTATTATATAAAGCGAAAGGAAGAAATATGATACATGAAAAAAAATAACATATATTAAAATCATTTTTTATTATAAACTCTAAAGGGATAATTGTTAATGTATTACAAGATATCTTGTACATATTATATATAATGATTAAGAATTTTCTAATTATATAATTATGAAAAACCATTTATATTTATTGTATGAACAAGTTGTATACGATTTACATTTCAATGGAAAAGATATATTAAATATATGTTTTATTTTACTATAAAAGTTATATATATTTATAATTTACAATATAAGAACTTATATATTTTATTTTATAATATTTAATTAAACTATGAATCCATTACAGTACACTTTTAGTATAAATAAAAATACATGATAATTGTACAGAATAAATATATTACACAAGTAAATATAGTACTTTGATATGTTTATCTTAATAATTAAGATAAAATTATGAAATATGGAAACATAATGTGACATGACAACTTACACACACGACACCATTTTCCTTACAGTAATAGCTATTCGAAATATGCTTTAATGAAATAATATAAAAATTAATACTTATATAATAATAATTATTATTATACAAATTTAACTTATCATGAAAAAATATAATACTTATAAATTTATTTTCCTTAATGATATTTTGTATAGTACTTTTTTTATATTTTATATGTATTTCTTTTAATTATGATTAAATAATCTTTTTATGATACAAATTTTAGCCTTATATTTGATGAATATAACAGTACATATATTTTTTTTTTACTTAAATGTATATAAAAACTAGAGGTATATTTAATAAATCTACTTTGTAATATTCATGAAAAGGACCCACAAGTTTTTACTTATTTTTTTATTTCATTTCCATGTAATTAAGAGACTAACGTTATAAATTAATTAGAGAAAATTTTTTTGTTCCTCTAAAAGAATAACACATAAATTAATACGTTACTAAGAATTAAAAAATAGATAAAACAAATATCATACATAAAAATTAAAAACTAATTTTCTAAAAGCTATATAAGAAGTTTAATGAGAAAAAATGTATACCATATATACATATTTAAATTGTAATATATAAAATAATGATTTAATTTAGTTCTTTGTATCATTCTTAAATAAATATTATACAGTGTAGATTTGGTTTCTTTGGATTTTTTTTAGGAAATATATGAAAATTATTTCCATTAATTATGAAGTCTATATCCATATTATTTTTAAATGATTATATATATAAACCATATTTATAAGAACCTTGATTTGAAACAGAATGTCTTTCATAAATGCTTTTATACTGATTCCATTCTATTGTAATTATGGGGATGAAAATTTTCTGTAAAATATTGTATAACATTATAATATATATTAATACGTTAAATACACTTTAATATGATATTTAGTTAATAATATTGATAGAAATATTTTTATTATATTTATTCCTAATTTATATAATGGATATAAATAACAAATACGAATTTATCATATCTAAAAACATAATGAATTATACATATAAATATTTAAATTAAAAGAAATTAAATTTTTGTGTATTATTAGTTCCATTAAGTAAAAGACAATTATCAAAATAAGATGATTGAAATAGACATACATTAGTTAACGAATGCTATTTATATTGTAGATTATACAATTCTTACTAGTGTATTAGTAAATATTATATATATATAGTTATTATATATGTTTATATAATAAATTAATTACTTCACATTCATATACTTTTTGTTTTTTTTTAAATTGTGTGTAAAATAAATATCTACAGGTGAAAGCACTAATATTTCATATATATATGATTAATTTGAATTGAAAGTATAAAAGCAAAAAATATATATATATATTTTAAGTATTTTTTACATTATTATAATATATTATTTTTAAATTCATTCTCCTTCATATTTTGTAAATATATCTGCGCTATAAATATACATAGTGTTTGAAGATAATATAATTTTATTTATATAGTTTATATGCATCAGTTATTAGTGCACATTATTCATAATGTGAAAAAAATTATTATTGTATTTTATCATACCCTAATAATAATTACTAAATAGTATTTATATGTTTAATTGATCTATTATTTATTTTAATCTACAATTTTTAATTTATATTTATGGCAGCATATATATATTTCTGTATTACATTATACTAATAAAATTGCATATATGTAAAACAATATATATGTCTTTTTTTTAGTAATATATTTATAGATAAATTTATTTTTTTTTTATGATATTATAGAGAACAATGATTTATTATATATATATATATATAATACTATTCTATTTAATCATTTTAATCAATTTCATTCATATTTTTTGTTCTTATGTATATTATTTTACACGTTGTCATTACTGTTATTACAAGAAAGTTCATATATATTTATACTTTTATTAAAACTGATTATTATATTTTTTCTAATGAAATAGGAATATATAATTTTTTATTGTATAACTCAATTATGTGAATAATATACAAATAAGCTTTAAATTAATAGTATAATATTTTACTAAGATTTATATATATGGAATAAAATTAAATCATCTTCCAAAATATATATACTGATTTTTTTAAATGGGCTCTCATATTACAAGATATAATGAAATGTTTATTTCATTATTGTATGAAAATATGAATATTCTGCACATATGGGAATATATAAATATATAATATATCTTAAAATATATAATGTGTTTGAGTTTAGGAATGTATAAAAAAAGCAAGTATCTGTATGAGGTTTATCGCATGGTATAAGAATTATGTTGTAAGGTAGGCTGTTCACAATATAGCGCCAGTGTAAATAATATCCAATTATATTTTTTATTCTCACTTCTTCAGATTATTCATTTAGTTGAATTCATTGTCCTTAATTTTATTATTCTCTTGAATTTAGTCTAAAGGCAATAGTTAATTTTTTTGCGATTTCCTTTTTAGAAAAAAATATAGAGTACATTACAATGCAAATGGCCTATTATAATTTAGTGTACTGTAAGCCTTAATAGTATCATAGCATGTGTAAATTTGATGATTTTTAATAATAGGAATATCTTAATTTTTCTATTTGTTTTGATTATTCATATCATAAATATCATGTATATATATAACATATGACAGTGTCTCATATTATAGATATTCCTTATCATTATAATATTTTATTTAAGCACAATATATTTATGGATTACTACATAATAAAATGTTGATAGAGTATAATATATTG